TTATCTAAAAATAAATTCAATAATTTAATATCAATAGAAAATAATCAGACATACTAAATATTGAATCTTCTTTAAAATGATTTAATGATAAAACTGATCGTGTTCGTTTATCAGTAAATTTTGATCGTAATTTTTTTTTAAATGATGATCGTTTCGATTTCATTAATTCATCAAGACTTGGTGCATTATTTGTTAATTCTTCTGCTCTATTTAGAAGGAAAATTATCGTATAAGAAAAGAAAGTTTATTTTTCAAAAAATCTTTTTACCGAGATTTATTCGGTATAGTTCCAGTTAATTTCGTTTGTGATAAAATTGTATTTAATTTAGTAGCAACCCAATAACCAACTTGACCATTATAAAGTGTATCTGTTACATGAAAAATATCATTGATACAAATTGATAATTCTTCATCATTTGATGGTTTCGAAGTAAAATGCGCACTGAAATTACGTTAAAATCATATATATATATTTTTTTTCTTAAAAATTATTTATACCGAATATAAAATGAATCACCACCAACATCAGTTAATAATTGTTCATATTCTATTTTAATAAATGAATAGAGATTTTTCAGTAATAATATGAAAAATAAACAAACCATGTGGTAAATTTGAAACAATCATATTCACTTGTGATGTTTTAAGATTCGTTAAATATAAAACAGCTTCTTCACGTGTTAATGTAGTAAAATCGATATTATTCACCTAAGATAGAATCAAGCGTCTTATTTACTATTTGACTAAAAATGGTAAAATACTGATAACTTGATATGGAGGGTCTAAGGCGATTTAGTACTTTGAAGTTTTTCATACTTCAATGTTTTAAATTAAATCAGAAAAATCCTAGACTATTTTATCATTATCGAAACGTTTTTAGGATAAAATGACAGATAATAGAAAAACTTACACTAAATATTTTATCACTAATAAATAATCCTGATTTATATGCGACACTATTTGGTTGAATTTCACAAATAAATAATCCATATTTATTCCCACCAGCTAATCGAATACCTATACTTGAAGTTTCTGTAAAGAATGATACATATCTTGATCCCGAACTAAATAAAAATCAAAAGAAAAAGAATGTAACTTTAAAATCTTTTCTTTTATTTACCTTGGTCGAATAAAATCAATATGATTATTCATTGATCGTTCAAATTTATGTTGATTATATTCTGATTGTATTGCTTTATATGAAGATATTGAATCTCGATGATTATTAGATTTATTTGGTATAGTATAAAGAATAAGTTGTTCTTTTGTTTTATCAATTAATTTTTGTGCTTCTTGTAATGTTAAACGATTAACTGGTATTTCATTAATCTAGAAATTTATTTTTTTTTGTCTAAATCTTTATATTTCATTAGAAGAATTTCAATTTTACTTTAATAATTTCATCACCTTCTTGAATCTTTGTAGATTTTTCATTATTTTTATAATAAACTTTTTTAATATAATATCGACAATCAAGTATAATATTAGTTTTTTCTTCTTTACGTGCTTTATCCAATATACATTTGATTGGTAATTCATTATCCGATACACTTACCGGATGTTTATGTCGTTGAACAATCTAGATTAAACAAAACTTAATTAGAAAGAAAAGAAAAGAAAGTTAATCAATATACTAAATGAACAAAATCTGTTGATTCACGAATTAATTTCAATGCTGTATATTCCATATAACGTACTACAGGATGACCATTGACATTTACAATACGATCATTTGGTCTAATTGAATATTAGAAAAATAATATTGATATATTTATTAGATAGAAAAATTCTTACAAAAGTTTTCCATCTGCAGGTCCATTTTTAATAACATCTGAAACAATTAATGATTGATTATCATTATCATCATTTCCACCACTTATTGATATACCAAAACCATGTAATGGTGACTAAAAGAAAATATGATTATTCTCATAAGTCGAAAAGCAATCCAATTAACACGTACTCTTGTTAAAGTTACTTGAAAGCAATTATTTTTATCACTCATATCATCTTCATCCATATTGTTGTTTGTTTCAATCTATAAAAATAAGCATAAATAAAATAATAAAAAAAAGAAGAAGAAGAGGAAAGTGTAATCGGAAGTTTGAACAAATATAACTAAGACAAATAAACAGTACATACTATTCTATTTTGCACGTTCGAAAAGAAGACATGTTCAAATAAGAAGCTTATCGGAAATCACGTGATTAGTTCAACAATGTTAAAATATAGATTAACGGAAATACTCGACTTTTTATCACTAGGAGTTAATCACAATTATCAACTATGAAATATGAGAATTTAGAGTTTGTCAAACATAAAGTTAGTTATTTTTTGCAAAGTTCGATTCTGAATTTTAACATAAACAAAAAAAATTTTCATCTCAGTTTCGAAGTAGATCTAATCCATTCTAGTAACTAATATAAGATGTTGATTTTATTTTGTGTTGTCTGATAAATGAGCGGTAAGAAAATTGTTCATTTGATATTCGAATGGTCCGTATCGATTACAATAAGAACTAACAAATATGATAAGAAAAAAAAGAGTATTGATCTTATTCATCCTCCTCACAAACATTGCATATAATCTCTTTTCATCTGTTTAAAGAAGAAAATTTAATTTTATCATATCAAACATAAGTGAATTATTAAAAAATATTATGTTTATATCATAATCTTACCATAGATATGTGAAAATTATAATAAATAATATTCTCCTCCTCGAAAAGTTAAGAGCGATAGAGAATATTCAAAAGAATATATTCAGTTCATTTTTGTATAGTAGTTAACAAGCGAACACTTCGTATAGAAAGAAAGAGAAAGCAAGAGAAGGTATGTTGATAATCGGTTGAACGGAAAAGGGAAAAAAGTTCACCTTTTTTTCTTTCTTTTCATTAGCCGTTGAATCGAAGAAATGAAAACAAGTGATCATTTTTCGTTTATATATATACATATATGTCTATCTGTTTATCATTGTGAATGGACCATCCTATTCTTTTAGTTTTTACTATAGATGACCGAGCACACGTGATTTGATGATTAAGATAATGATGATGTTGATTTCAATCAAGAGAAAAAGTGACAAGCAATGTTCATTCATATTATAATTATTCGATTTCAAGCACAACATTCAATATGCTTTGTTTCTGTTGAAGAATATAACATTGGTTATGTTTTGTTTGATCAAATAAAGTATTCAATGCTGATGTACACTTAAGTTAAAAGCGAGAGAGAGTGAACAAGTGACTATTAAGAATTTAAAAACAAAATTTTTCATTTAAAAATTAAATGTATCGAATTGATTTCATTCACATAGTTATTTTATAGTTTCAATTAAATCAATCAAATTTGACCTTAAAAATTAAGAAATTCTTTCTTTGTTAAAGGAGGATACGAATAAAAAGTCATATATTGTCAATCATACAGAGAATATTGATGTGAAAAAGAAAATATGTTAATCATTTTGTCTTTTCTACTTTCAAATAACTTTTCGTTGCTTATCATTATAGATAGTACAATATGTGACGAAATTTATCTGATTTTAAGAATAGCTTAAAAAGCACTAGAAAAGAAAGATCTTAATAAATAAAGGAAATTTATTTGTAAACTCTAAGTTTTCGATTGCAGTCCAAAATTTAACACTACAAATCGTTTTCTAAACCATCGTGATGAATTCTAATTAATTTACTCAATATTAGCCAAGTTATATTGATATTTTTTGATAAACGTTTTCTGGTAACAATGATGAGAAAATATCAGTATTGTATAACTTGAAACTTGAATTCAACTATACTCAACCATTTACTTTCATCTTCTCATGTATATTTTTTCTTAAAAAACAAATCGTGACCATTACTAAGGCACTTTTTTAGAGATACAAATCACACTTATCGAATACTTACATATATGTATATATCTCTAAAATATATTTTATCCCTTTTATTAAAAATCTTATGAAACTTGTGTATACAATTTTTTTTCAAATATGTGTCTATGAATGAGGAGAATTCAGATGTATCCTGCTGTGTAGAGGAAGATAATAAACAAAATTACATACTAAAGCTGTTATTAGAAGTGAACATCAAGTACTAATCCAAGCGCTCGATCAAACATTTTCTTTTTTTCCTACAAGCCGATTAGTGAATAAATATACACATAAGTTGTAAACTAATTCTTTGAGTTATTGAACCATAAAAATCTATGCGGCGTTTTTTCTAAGTAATGACATTCAAAGTATCTGTTTTACAAAGATTTTCTTGTTTAATTTTCTGATTAACTACTTCTTCATCGTCAATTCTTCTCATTCTTGATATATCTAGTTTAAATAAAGGTAGCAAATCATATTATAAAGTTGTCTTTCTTCATGTGTTTTATCAGTTTGTGCAACGCTTTCTAGTTCATAGAGAAACAAAAGTTGTTGAACATTCTAATAATCTCACTATACTAATGTGAAATATAGGAAGATTATTATGAATTTACAAAATAGTTTTGATATTAAACAAGTGAGACCTGCAAAATGCAGATAAACTGTGAAACATAGTGACATCTTATTTTTCCTAGTCTTCCTTTTTCAATTCATTCTATATCATTATTGACATAGACTAAGACAAAACTCAAAATTGCTAAGGTATATGAATAGAATTTCATATCTATATTTATTTACATATGGAAGTATTGATTATATTCCTCGATTACATTCATATATATGTATGTACATATACAGGTATTCTATTCATTTAATATGGATGAGTTTATTAATGGTATAAACTACTCTTTGATATTCGAACAGACAGAATAATTCATTCAATTGATATAGTAAACTTTTTCTCTCCTTCTATTCTTTTATGTTTCGACTGAGTATCTTTTTTTCTTATCTAACACAGCGAAACTCTACTTGATCAGACATCATAATGTAACCGTGAATGTCATTTCTATAACACATATCTTTTCAGTATGTATTGTTTACCTAATCGGTAAGTGTTACTGTTCATCTTGTGCTCTCAACAAGAACAGATTCTCAGCAGAGGTTCCTTCTTTTTCATCAATTTTATCCTGCTTTCAAAAAAGACACAGAAAGAAATTATAATTTTTTTTTTATGTTTTCGAGGTTTTTTCTCCATTTTTGAAGTCCAGGATGGTTTGTTGGTAATGATTTTTCTCCAATTTGTACAGCGTGTTCATAAAATGAAAGAGCTCTTGGATAATCACTCATGCTGTCATACACCACCGCGCTGTCGTTATAAGAAGCACCTAAATCAGGATGATTGGACGGAAGTGATTGTTGCCGAATCTCAAGGGCTTTTCCATGACAGGAAAGTGCTTTTAGATAATTACCCATGTTACGATATACAATACCGATGTTATTATAGGAAGCACCCAAATCAGGATGGTTGGCAAGAAGTGATTGTTGCTGAATTGTAAGGGCTCTTTCATGGAATGAAAGTGCTTTTGGATAATCATCCATACTATAATATACACTACCGATGTTGTTATATGAAGCGCCCAAACTAGGATGATTGGAAGGAAGTGATTGCTGTCGAATTTCAAGGGCTTTTCCATGAGATGAAAGTGCTTTTGGATAATCACCCATCTTGTAATACACTATTCCGATGCTGCAATAGGAATTACCTAAACTAGGATGATTGGAAGGAAGTGATTGTTGTTTGATTGCAATGGCTTTCTCATAATAAGAAAGTGCTTTTGGGTAATCATCCATGTTGTAATACACCCTACCGATGTTGTTATAGCAAGCACCCAAATGAGGATGATTGGAAGGAAGTGATTCTTGTCGAATTTGAAAGGCTTTTTCATGAAACGAAAGTGCTTTTGGATAATCACTCATGGTGTCATATAAAATACCAATTCTGTTATAGGAATCTCCCAAATCAGGATGATTGGAAGGAAGTAATTGTTGTCGAATTATAAGAGCTTTTTCATAATATGTAAGTGCTTCTTGATATTCTCCTTGATTATCTTTGATCCAACCTAGTTGATAATAAATCTGCGCTTTGTCACTCTCATTTGTTGTTTGATGAAGTAAAACTGTATAAATTTCTTGAGCTTTGGTAAACTGACCCATTTTTATCAGTAATAATCCCAGTCTATACCATCCTTCTTCATCTGAAAAGGTCTCCTCCCGGATCTGGTCGCTAAGAGTTCGAAGATCTTCGTCATTGTCATGAGTCAATGTTAAATTCACTTGATAGAGAGCATTATTTTCATCCATTGGTTGAATATCTTCTATACGAAAAACCGTATGCATAGAGAAGAGAACCTCATCTTCGGTATGAAAATAACTAACATCTGCGACAGAGGCAAATGGAGTAGTTGAATGAGTGGGATTGATTGATATAACAAATAGAACTCCGACAAGATCAGGATTTGTAGCAGCATGTGGTGCGAAAAGGAGAGAAACAGCACGATTTCTACTAGTTGATAAAAAGTTATTAAATGAAAGAAGTCCACCTTTAGTTTTTTTCATTTCAGTGAAATCTTCTTTTGAAAGACATTGCCCACGATAAACTGTAAATGTTGTACTCGATTGCTGACTATCAAATTGTTCTGAATGCAGTCGTTGAATATCGCGATGTAGGTCATTAATAAAGAAACCCATTCGAACAAGAATATCAACATCCACTAATCGTAATGCTTGATTGAGCATCGAATACAAAAAACATTGATAAGTATACCACCAAATAGGTTTTTGATCATGATAATCACGTTCCAATTTTGTAATATTATGTAAATCATACTCATTTTCGACAAATACTTCACGACAATAAGCAATAAATTCTTTAATATGTTTATCTTCGAATTTGATGGTCAATAAGATCTCTTTCAAGATCTGAGTATACATAAAGGATGGATCTAATTGATCCAACTTTTTGTTTGATGCCACAAAGCTGATTGAGATGGCATTTTGCTCACATTGATGAGCAGTTTGTTTAAGAGCTTCACATATTGATGTTATATCTGTAAAGACTCCTTTTATTTTAGGCCATTCTTTGACCCATTGTTTATGCGATTCTTGATTGTTAGAGAAAATAAAAATACTATCTACTTGGGACATATCATGTACACAGGGCACAATATTTTGCCCAAGTGAACTGGAAACAATCATACATATCTTATTGTTGGTAATGGTTCGAATAAATTCAACACACTGTTCACCAACTGTAAAGGTGTTTACGTTATTAACCACACATTTCAATTGTTTGATTGTATTACTACAATCAATATCATTATTATCGATATTGTTGTCCAACCAAACCAAAAAGATATTTTGCATTCTCTGCATGTTCATACGTCGATTCGCAATTGCACTCATGGAAAGATCAGATGCTGGCTCAAATCTTTCTGTACCATCTAATTTGTTAGTTGCCATTGACTTTGACAATTTGTTATTTCTAATACGAATGTATTGTATTTGAGTAGCTTAAAAATATTTGCAGGTGAAAGAATCGCGAAAGTGGCTCATTTAATAGTGTCTCTACTTTCTATCTAGATTGTTATTTCGATTTTTTTAATTGTTGGACAACGCGTTTTATGCTAATAATTATATATTTCATATTGAAAAACAACTCATGTACGCACGAAATGCAAAATCAATTTTTTGAAACACAGGTTGGCAAAACAAAACGCGTCGAGTCGCAATTAAAAATGTTTTCACGCTGCATGTAAATGTAGTTTGATATGAAATACATCGACACGCAATTAAAAAAAATCTTTTGAAACACGTTTTGACGCACTGTTTCTATACAACGCGTTGAAGCGCAACTAGTAAAAATGAATTGCCTCTCAACGCGTTTAAATGCGTCGCATATTTTTTCAATCATATTCGGATGCGATCATATTTCTGAGTACATTTGTATGTGTTCATTTCTTACTTTTCAGATCAGTTTTTACTGTAGAAATTGTTGCTCTAGAAGGATTAACCATGTAATGGGTGTGGGTGTGAGTGTGAGTGTGGATATCTTCTCATTCTATTCACACCCACATCCACTTATACATCACACTGACACCCAACCCTAATTTCTATTCTTTTCAAATATTCAGTACTTTCAGAGACGTATAATCGATCATAAGAGCATATGATACATTTTCCAAGTAACATATTAAAGGTAAGTGTTCTTACTGAAATCATTGAGTACCTAGTTGTAAAAAAGCGGTATTATGTCCGATGCATTAACGAAAATCTAAGGGACGTTTATTGACAACAGAAAAACACCACAATAAAACTAATTATAACGAAAATAAACATAAAGCGAAATCAAAAAATCACAGAAAAAACTAAAACGCAATAAATAAAAAAATTAGTTTCTCTCTTTGTCTTCATCTAAGCCAATAGTTCTCTCATATTATGAAAATATTCGCACACAATACTAGTTGATGACAAAATAAAAAAAACTTTGCTATCCAGGTCGAACAGTCCAACACAGAAACCGTCAGCTTTTTGACGGTTTCCCGTGGAAAGTCACGAAGTACTGCGTCTGGAATCATTGTTCTGAGTATCCATCCAACTAAACCTGAAAACTTTTGCCCTCCAAAAGCGGTTGCCCAATACGGTTTTCCAAAGCCAATAGCTGCGCTAACCATTGTAAACGTATTGAGCAATAGAAACACCGGAAATCTCTCGTCTGTTACTTTGGCCTTTAAATTCTTTATTGTTGTTAAATCTTCAAAATGAAAGACCAAAACAAACGGCCCGATAAAACCAAAAGAAACCATCACTCCAACTTTATATTTCACCGCATATTTCCTGTAAAATTATATAAAAACATATCAACCAATTCTAAATACTATATTTTATATCAAAACAATAAAAAAAATCATTCGAAAGAGCACGAAAACCAGAATATTATCGCATAAATTTTACAGGGATATACTTGAGAGGACGAGAATGAAGGATAATAATCTTATTAGAAAACTGTTTTTTTCAATCTATTTTTTGGAGATTTAAGAGTATATTCTTACGAAATTTTTATGATAATATTCAGGCTTTCGTGCTCTTCTGAACGTTATTTTCTTATTGCTCTGGCATAAAACAAAATATTTCCTGTCATTCGATATGACATATCTAGTAATCTATGATAAATAGTTTTTATTTTTTTCGTATATCTTACTCGAAATTTGGATCTATGAGATCTTCATCTCTCACTATTGTAATTGCCACATCATTGGTAATTCTCGTTTTACCAGAATTTTGATTGTTGTGTTGTTGAAATTAAATGCGGCGACTCATTTTAAATAGCTGTACTGTTCGATTATTTTTACAATATGGTTAAATGAATCGTAGAACCCTAAGTTACTTATCTGACTGTTCTTTTTTCGTTCAATTTTACACGGTAACGATTCAGTAATAGGATAGGAAAGCGAAAAGAATATCTCAATATCTCTTTCAGTCTAGAGCGATTTTTGTCTAGGCATAATATATCCGTCGTCAGAAACGTCCATTAAACAAACGTGAAATAACTAAAAAAAGATAAT